CATCGATGTCCTTGGACCCTGTCATCAAACTTCATCCTCAAGAAGCTGACAAACAAAGAATAAAACGGTTAAAAGTCAGGTTAACAGATGACATCAACTAATGAAATCTCTGACTATCGATCAGAGTGGTGTAAGCAAATTTAATTTACCATTTTCGGGTTTTCGAGAATACTAAAGAAACTGATGGTTGAAAAGTTCAAGGGTTAGGGATTAAAATGGGTCACCGTGGTACGAAACATCACCTACGTCTCTCTACCCAATAGTTTTCCAGTACTTTCTCTCCAGCCGACATTCTTCACTACTGTCTATATTCACTTCTTTCCTTTTTTTTCCGTGGTAGGAACCACAGCAAAATTCAGTATCTTGCTATTAATTCTGCACATCATCCTGCGAACCGAAACTTTCTTCTTCTAAAACTAGATAACGCTATGTGCAAAGATGAGTGGATAAGCCAGTCACATTGTTATGAAAAATTCACAGATAAGAATACTATGAAGGCTACTTGGAAAATACAGATCACAAAAAGGTGACCTATATATAACAACAGAAATAATTACTGAGCTGAGCTAGTGGGTAATCGAAGAGACACAAAACTTGTTTCGTGAACAACATAAACGTAATCTACTTACAAAGTTACACCGATACAAATACAACTACTAGATCGTTGCGATGATAAGGCTTCAATAAAATCTGGAAGGTACATCCATCTGACAAAAAAGTGTACCGGTTCGAGTGGCCATAAATTGTAGCATCACAAAAGGCAACAGACAAAAATAGAATGATATCGAAATAGACAAGAGGGATACGGGAACAGGGGAAAAGTAGAACTGGTAGAATATTTAAGATTTCGAAGGTGAAAGAAGTAATTCCTATTTAAATCTAACTTTCAAAACCTCTACTCAAATATGAAACTGACAGTTGAACACTCTTAAAACTTTATTCAAATATCTCTGAAAACATACCAATATGAGGTTTTTGAAACTGATTTTATTTATCTGCATTGGTTATTGACCAACATTACTGGTTCAGAACTCTAAAACTGCTTTTTTATTTTCTAGCCTTTTCCACTGTTGTACTGAGGTCTGTCGGTCAGTTGGTAAAGTTTATGATATAGGACATTCCATCCTTATTAAAATGAATTAGTATCCGTCTATATATCTCTGTTTACGTTAGTTGTCGGAAATAATTACCGTTGTGCGGTGGTTCGGATGTGTGCAAAAAGTATGTCTTAACTGCTATACTACATTTTCTTGTCTTTTTAACCCTTTCTTTCTTCGGCCTTGATTTTCTGTGACTTTTATTTACTAATAACATTTTCTTGAATTTAGCCTGGTTGCTTTGCATCTTGATGTGGTGGTAACTTAAACCACCGAGTAGTAGTGCCCGGTACCACGATAATACTGACTAACCAACAAGTTGGGTAGGAATCTGAATGGATATGATATTTATTGCAATAGTTTGATGGTTATTTGAGAATTTTCAACTCATTATAACAGCAGTAGTAAAGGATTACTTTAGGCATAATTATTTGCTAGAGATTTCCATCGAAGCTGTTTTGATAATACAGTAAGTCGTTCATAAGTAACCGAGAATCGATGTCTGTTTTCCATTGTCTCATAAAGTTATCCCCTACAAGTGACTTTAACCACCAATCATATGGTTGGTATTCAGAAAAGGAAACATACTCATCAGCCTTTTACACATTCGTGCAGTCAGCAGTGAGTCACACATATTGTGCAACTGTGATGGTACTACCTAACCTAGCCTAGTTAAATGGTACACTAGTTACTAGCCCGTCCTAAGCAAGGATAAAGAGGGAAGGTTGGACACAGGGCTAGCAACCCTACCCCGTAAAACCAATCCAATCGCTAAACAAACTTCAAAGCACAGAAAAAATACATAGGATAAAAACAAACTTATTCCTCGTTGGAATCGGGGAGACGAAATGACGCGTTAGTGAAAGACTTCGAGAAGCCAATTGGCTGGTGTATCTTCTCTCAAGGAGAGCAAAAGTGAGCATGGGGACATGGAATGTCCGCACTATGTGAGGAGAGAGAAGATGGGCATACGCTGGACCAATGAAACGACCCCAGGAGAAGATTTGGATTTCGCCCATCGTGATTTATGTCTAATGTCGTACAAACTCGAAGGTCTACAGGCAAAAAATAACAAGTTGTCAGAAGAGGCGGCAAGGACGGGACTTCATATGAACGTAGTGAAGACAGGTGATGAAGATACCCAATCAACAACAACAACAACAACAAGCAAAATCACCATGAACGGGAGAAACCTGAAAAAAGTTGTCTCTTTCACCTACCTAGGTAGCATCGTTCCAACTACAGGCAGCACAGGCACAGATGAGGATGTCAAAGCCAGGATCAGGAAAGCAAAACAGACCTTCATTAACCTAAAATCAGTGTGGGGATCTACTTGACTGCATTCCACTCAGCATAAAGCGTGAACAACATACAGATTTTTAACATTAACTCCAAATCAATGCTTCTACACAGTTCAGAAACTTGACGCATTATGAAAAGCATCTCCAGCAAACTACTGACGTACATCATCAACAGTAGCCGCCTACGTTCACTCAATACTGAAGAACAGATGGCCAGAATAATGAAAATAAACAACAAGGAACTCTGGGAACGAACCACTCAAAAATCACCCAACAAATATGCAGTAGAAGAAAACGGAGATGGATTGGGCATACCCTGAGAAGACTATTCGGAGGCATCACGCGTCAGGCAGTCGAGTGAAACCCAAAGGGGTAACGACGAGTTGGGCGTCCGAGGGTGACATGGAGATCATGTGAGGAAGAAATGAAAGCTTCTGGGCAGTGGTGGAGTCAGGTTAAGAAAACTGCAGAGAAAAGAGTGAAATGGTGACGTGCTACTGAAACCTTATGTTCCACTAGGAACCTAAGGGAAAAGTAATAGTAATAAACGGTACTACCTGGCTACTTAACCCTTGGTAGTCTGAGTGGCGTTTGGTATACTAAATAATGGCATTTGAATACATCCAGATCAAAATTATCCATCCATTTAAAGATATCCACAGGTTTCGAACATTCCAATTTACATCATAAAGATATTGAAAAATCACCTTTAGTAATTAACTACTATAGTTTCAAAATGTTCAATAAAAATTATTTTTAGTTGGAGCTATCACAGCAGAACGCTACTTTAGACCACTAATTATTAAAAACATGGGTCACATCTACAAATTTCAGCTTAATAATAAAAAGGCTCCTAGAATTTTTACCACTTAATACATGAACTTCAAATGCTGTACTTTCTCATTAGATAACAGGCGATCACAAAGTGAATTTCTCTACGTTATTTACTAATGTAGAAAAAATTATTCTTATCCCTCATGGAAGGCATCACTGAGAAGAACTAAATCACGAATTGTAAATTCATCGCATCACAGTTAAACGAAGTAAAGCAATAGAGATCAACTTCTAAGCAGTTGCATATATAATGTATACTGTAGCGGCACACACTTCTCCAAAATCAACAGCCCAGGGTTTGACGACTTTTGACATTGATGCTGACGATAGTTTAACTGGACTCGCTAAGCTGAAGGCACCCGGTCAAGCATCCTCGCCATTTGGCACACTGTCGTGTTACGTTGTACTGCTCGTATTCGACTCTTTAGCCAGTTAGTTGGAACGCATCGGTATTTTGGCACAACCATCCAAATACACTATTCCATCCGACTACGCTACCGTGTTCTTCCTTGGTCTCGTATTCGTGAGTATATAACAAGTTCGAATGATTAGTGATTGGTCTTTGCGTCTGTTGAGTTCGCACCAGGACAAATCCTAAAATACTTACACAGGGTACAAGTGATATTACTGTGGTACAATGGCCAGGTGTTGTGAAACACGTATTAAGCCAGGATAGTATTTGATTACAAAAACGACTGTTTTCGTAGTTCTGGATATTAAGAAGACCCAGATGCTGTGCTTGGTGACACCACCAACAGAAGAGGCTTTCATTAGTCAATGTGTAACGATTGATCTGTAGCGCCAAATAATTTCCTGAAATCCACAGCCCAAGGTTTTGTGATACTCAACTTTGATGCTGACCTTCATAGTCTCGACGAACTTGTCAAGCAGGAAGTGAATTAACAAGTATCTGTGCCATCTGGCAGGTTGTCATTTTATGTTGAGTTCCTTGTTAACAATTTCCTAGCCGGTCTGTTCATACATCTTGACGTATTATCACGACTCACAAAATATGCAATTCACATCTACCTAACCTTTGTGTTCCTTTTTGGCCTCGCATTCGTAAGTAATCAACGGGAAAGAGAATCAACGGTCGGCCTATCTATCTTTCAAAATCGCGTGTGGACAAATCATACAGATCGAATGGACACAAGGAAAATATGACAGAAAGACATAAACGCAGAACAATTCAGAATTGCATCGGTTCATATTAACACATTCTCCTACAACAGCACAGAAGAAAAGTACAAAGACATGAAAGGTTAATCGAATGCCAAAAATTTGGAAGGTCAGTTACAGGGGCTGCATGAAGGTCACTGTGATGGATTTTAAACCTGGTCAGAAAGTACCCAGCTACTGATTCCCAGCATCGCGAGGACTGCGAAGATGCATCGTTTACTTTGCTTACAAGGTTTATATAAACGGTCACAAAATTAGTGAACTGATGCCGTTTACTGGCACGATCTCTCCAATTTAATCTTTTACTTACTGGTACCAAATGCTTCAAAGTTACTGTATATAGTTTGTATGCATACAAGCATGGCATAAATATGATTCAAAGTCAAATGTATTATTTATACGCAGTGATACAGATACGAGTCAAATGTTTTCGGATTCCATATATGACAATCATCGACCTCAAAAATTAGGAGTAAGAAGCTGGAATGATCAACTTTCAGCATATTATATATATATATATATATATATATATATACAAAATGTAAAACGAGATTTATGAATGACTTAAACTACACGAAAAAACACTCACAGTCAACTGGAGCTAGTGTCATATAATTTGGAGTAGGAGTGGTCGTAGTCGTCGTTTCGACAGGGTCCAAACATACGATGGATGTTTGTCGACTCGTGTCTTGACACGCAGAAGGGAGTTCGTTTGTGAATGAGCAAACACCCAAATGTATAGTAGCAGTGCTTGGTGAACTAGAAGGTAATACAACTCTTCCAGTACAATTGAATTCAGAGAGCACGGGTGTGGAATTCGGAACTCGTCGTGGGCTATTCATAATTGGTACACCACGAGGTGGGCTGCAATCCAAAAGCAGAACAAAAGCACTTACTATCCAAGCATAAAACATGCAACTGATGCTGCTAATTCGTCAAATCCAAAATTGCAGACAGTTCCCCAAGAACCATTGTAATTAACTTCGAGTACACCATCACGTTTCTCTTGATAAATACTTGTCCCGGAAGCCAAACGTACAGCCCTGATGCCACCAACATCTTGAATATGTTATTCTGAAATCAATAAGTTTGCTTACTTATGTTTGTTTGCGCTAGAACAACCACGAGATTACATGAGATAGAAAGGACGAACAACACATGCATTCCTTCGAAATACCGCCTTGCGTTGCTATGATAGATGACGAGCAAAACTACATAGACAAAGTATCCAATATCCAATATCCTCCTAACGAACTTCTGTAAATCATTTGATTTCTTCTTGCTCGCTTCTTGGTCTTGCGGAACGGTTCCAGGTCTTAAGCTGATAAACATCGTACAGAACAAATATTTGGGCTATACGTCAGCCATCAATAACCAGCATTCTCTAATTGTGAAAGCACAAATCTAATACTTTTCCCTCTTAAATCCTTTTATTCGTCGGGATATTTCGAAAAGTTAATCTCGATTTCCCTTCTAAACAACTTTTCATGCCTTTCAACTAGAGTCCAATTTTGTTTGTTCATGAAATTACGGTTGTGCTTTCACAGCTTTATCAGAATAAAAATCACTGAAGAAAGCCTCAGTTTGTCGTTTAAACAAGTCAAGTACGCTGTAAATTATGGGCGCCGGAATTCAAGATATCGGTACAACTTACAACGCCTGCGTAGTTCTCGAAAGCATTCAAAAGTGGAACCAAAATTGTGCTGCTGGGAGGCTATTCGCAGAAATTTGGAGCTCGAAAACCAAATTTCCGGTTTTCACTCTTCTGGATGTTGTGCTTGTGTGAACTTGATAGAGGCACAGGCCAATCACTAATCAATCTTACTCGTGATATACGCACAAGTTCGAGACCAAGGAAGAACACTACAGCGTAGTCACGTGGAACAGCATACCTGAGAGTTCTTGTCAAGAATAGCGGTTTGTTCAGACAAGCTGGCTAAGGGATCGATTGCGAGCAGTGTAACGTAACACCAAAGCGTGCCTAATGGGGGGATGCTTGGTCGTGCGCCTTCAGCTTAGTGGTTCCGGGGCGACTATGAAGTTCAGCATTATTGCTGAACCTTGCTAAATCCTAGCTCACTGTTTTTTTTTGGGGATGGGGGGGGAGAGCGTAACGCTACACTGTTGCTCTCTGAATCTTTGGAATCCGTTTATCACGAATGCTTCATATAAAGTCCAAGGGTAGCTTGTACATAGAATAAAATAATAAAGTCATTTTATTGCTCTTTCGTTCTTCTTGGAGTAGGTTCCTCCGCTTAAGATCTCTATCATAATGGAAGCTACAAGGAATTCACGAATTCTCGCTATTCTCATTCAGACCTAGAAAGTGTTATTTTTGCATCAAGAATGGAGTGCTACATATTTCATAGTTTCATACTAAAAATATTGGTAAATGTAGCCAAATGAAAGCCAGCTGGATAAGCAGTTGTTCATTGAGGAAATACATTGCGTAATATTCAATATCCCTCGTAACAGCTTTAATAAACCAGTTGATTCCTTTGAAGTTAGCTTCCAGATCTGGTAGAGATTCCGTCAATAATGGATTCCAATACGAATATAAAGCCCTTCCCCTGCTCAAGTCGTGGCAGGCCAAACGGTACACTCGTCGTCGGATTTGTTTGTGAGGATATGTGGGCTTTGTCTTAGGAGTCGGTCGCAGATGAACCCCTTAACTGTCTTGCTACCAGACCGTTTTTCAAAGTGGCAGTGAAAAACACTGAGATTCAGGAGTAATCAGTAAGAGCATAAGTGAGGAAGACAAGAAAAAGGAGAACGAAGTGGAAGTAAAACTCTGATTAAGTTAGGAGAGAGAAAGAAAACAGTGATATAAAGAGTTTAAAGAGGAGTGCTAAGTTTTAAGGAGCGAGAGAGAAGGAAAGAGGCGTAGGAAAATACGGCAGGGGAAACTTGATAAGAAACAGTAGTAATAGTATATATATATATATATATATATATATATATATATATATATATATATATATATATATATATATATATATAGTTTTGGCAGTTATATCATTAATAGGTGCTGCTTCTGGCCATCGCCTAAAACCACCCACCCAAATGAAAATGTAAGTACTTCCATTAGATCCTGGTAGAGGTCCTACGATGTCTATATGGACGTGGTCGAAACTCATGTCTGGGGCTGGAAAACCTGAAGGGCTTTCCGTGTGTCTCGTGACTTTGCACTTCTGACAAGCTAAGCACGATTGAGCCCTCACCTTAACGTCTCCGTTCACCGCAGGACAGCAGAAACTTTGTGCAATAAGCCTGGTAGTGGCTCGTACACCTGGATGGGGCAGTTTGTGTAACGTATTGAAGACGTTGCGTCGGCATCTCTCCGGAACTATTGAGCGTGGTTGACTAGCAGAGATATCGCACAACGTTGCACCTTTGCTTGACCCTACTGGACACAGTTGTAGCTTGAGAGTTGTGGACGACAACCAGTGATGCAGCTCACGGCCTTCTTTTCGACACCGAGCTAGTTCAACCAGATCAACGCCCTCGATATGATTTATAGAAGCTATCCACTACGCAGTTATTTGCTTAAGAAATGCGACGGATACCTAACGTGAACTGGGAAACGTAATCCTGTTGTCGTGATTCACACGGGGAGTATTTGTCAGATGCCGAGCTGAGGGAAAAGGTGAATGGTTTGTGGCCTGTGAAAATAATGAGACCACGACCCTCCACCGAATGTTGAAAAAGGCGGACAGAACAGTACATAGCTAGGAGTTCCCTACCAAACGTACTGTATCTTGTTTCCACGCCTTGCAGCCACCTCAAGAAAGAAGCCAATGGTCGCCATTGGTTGTCAGTCAGTTGTTGCGAAACTGCTCCGATTACTGAGTCAGATGCATCAACAGCAATACTCAAAGGAGCATTGGGGTCATGATGCATAAGCATGGTTGCGTTCGAAATGGCTTCCTTGACTTTAGAGAAAGCAAGTCTAGCCGCGTTGTCCAGAGTCACGAACTTCGTAGTTCCTCGAAGTAGATCTGTGAGTGGTCTCATGACAGAGGCACAGTTAGGGATAAACCTTCGGTAATAACTTACCAGGCCATTGAAAGTGCGGAGATGTTTCACAGTGGTCGGCTCTGGATAGTTTGTGATAGCCGCCACTTTATCTCTCAATGGGCGTATACCTTTGTTGTCAATGGTATGCCCAAGGAAGCTGAGTGATTCAACTCCTATTTCACACTTCTGTAAGTTGACTGTGATGCCATGTTTTTTAAGTCTTTCGAATGCGAGGTCCAAATGTTTGAGGTGAGTTTCCTTATCTGGACTCGCAATTAGACAGTCATCGATGTAGACATGAACAAAATTCAAACCACGGAAGACATCATCCATAAAGCGTTGGAATGTTTGTGCTGCATTCCGAAGACCAAATGGCATGCGCAGGAATTCAAACAGGCCAAAAGGAGTAATAATGGCTGTTTTCGCGATATCTTCTGCTGCCATAGGTATCTGGTTGTACGCTTTGACCAAGTCGATTTTAGAGAAAATGTTCATTCCGCATAAGGTTGCAGTCAAATCGTAAACGTGAGGTATCGGGTAGCAGTCCGGAGTTGTTTTGGCGTTAAGCCTTCGGTAATCACCGGTCGGATGCTATCCTTTTTGGGAACCATGTGCAATGGCGATGCCCAAGGACTGTTTAACGGTCTGATAATGCCCAGTTCGAGCATGTGGTCGAATTCACTTTTCGCCGTTTGGAGCTTATCGGGGGCTAGACGGCGCGCTTTGGATGCCACAGGTGGACCTGTGGTTGTGACGTGATGCATAACATTGCTGGTTATGCACGGAAGAGTGTGCTTTGGTTGCTGCAACTCTGGATATTTCTCCAAAACTCCTTGGTAGGACGCGTCGCCTGATTGTTTGGTTCTAACGATGGCTAAACTCGGACCTACATATATGGTGCCGCCAATAGATAACTTTGTGTTGTTATCTATCAGTCGTCGACGATCGGATCGTAATGGTTTAGCAAATCTATGCCAATGATGGGCATAGAAACGTCAGCCAGGAGGAAGATCCAGTGGATAGGTTTGCGTAAACCTAAGTTGAGGTAGGCATACCGTCTCCCGAATGTCGCGATTGCCTTGCCGTTGGCTGCTTGAAGATTGAAGGATGGGTCAGATGACGCTCCTTTGTCGTTGCTGGAAGAACGCTAACTTCTGCGCCGGTGTCGACGAGGTAGCGGACTTTCGTTTTAATGTCGGTGACGTAGAGCAAACGGCTTTTTCCGCCGGCTACGGTTGCCGTGAGCACGTGCCGGCGTGACCGTTTCCCGAGTTTGTGTCCTTCTTAAAACGGCATGGTTTACGACATTTTCTGGCTTCATCCCCGTAAGTGTTATGAAACCAGCACCATTCAGGGTTTTCCACCCTGTTGGGTTTCGTTTTAGGGCTACCACGCGACTTGCTGCGATGCGCCAAGGTGCGTTTCTGTGAAGTGCTACGTGATCTAGGACTTCGAGATCGTAGCAACCGTTCACAGAGTTGCACAACTTGGTCACCTCTGAATCCTGGCGCTCTGGTTTGTCGCAGATAGAATATACGTTGGAGACGGGTCTGCTGGATATCTCCAGTATTTTATCTGCTGAGGCTGCCAGGTCGTCGAGTGGGACTGACTGCAGTGTCACCAACACGGTTTGCACCGGTTGTGGTAGTTTCGAGAGAAATAGTTCTCGGAAGAAACCATCGTCAAATGTTCGTGCACCGATTACTTCTCGCATGCGTGCGAGGACTTCAGTAGCTGAGTGGCTGCCTAGCTCGATGTTACGAAGCAATTCGTCTAGACGTTGGCGATCTGTGAGATCGCTTTTCTTCAAGAGTGCGGCCTTTAGAAGTGCATAAGGGTCACTTACTTCAGGATTAAACATGTTTGCTGTAACATACCTGTTTAATTCTCGCGGTAGTGACCGTATGACAGCAAGAAATCGAGAATGAGGATCTGAGACACCCTGTTCTCGAAAATCGGCCTCGGCATACAGAAACCATGTTTCTGCATTGTCTGGCCAATATGGCACGAGTTGGATCGTGTTCGAGTCGGCTTAATACGAATAAGCTTGGGAGTGTGGTCGGACATGAGAAAGTGTAGTAAATGGATATATAAATGTTATCGAAATGAAAACAATAAACAAATATAAAATGGAACAGGCTCACCAATTCAATATTTGTTATTGATCGGGATATTAAGTCGGGCTCACCAATTTAGGATTTGTCCTGGTGCGAACTTGACAGACGCAAAGACCAATCACTAATTATTCGAACTTGTTATATACCCACGAATACGAGACCAAGGAAGAACACGATAGCGTAGTCGGATGGAATAGTATATTTGGATGGTTGTGCCAAAATACCGATGCGTTCCAACTAACTGGCTAGAGAGTCGAATACGAGCAGTGCAACGTAACACGACAGCGTGCCAAATGGCGAGGATGCTTGACCGGGTGCCTTCAGCTTAGCGAGTCCAGTTAAACTATCGTCAGCATCAATGTCAAAAGTCGTCAAACCCTGGGCTGTTGATTTTGGAGAAGCGTGTGACGCTACACCATCCTAGAAGGGCTACAGAGAAGAACTACAAAGAAAGTGATTGGGTCGCGGCACAAACCGTACCCAGACCGCTTAGTCGCTTTTTAGCTGCATCCAGTACAACACCTGGGGATCAGAGGGGACATGATTATGATGTACCATATCGCCCATAATCCCCTCCATCCCAACAGATCCCTTCTAAGCTTCAGTCGGAAATGCGATTTGAGGGGTCACCCTCCTTAAGAATAGAGCATGAGAGAGCACGTACACAGATCCATGCCAACTCATTTGCAGTTAGAGTCTGAAAACTGTGGAATTCCCTCCCTTCAGCAGTTGTTACAGCCCCATCCCCTGTCGCCTTTAAAAGGAGGTTAGACGCACACCTCGAGTCCTACGGTATTTGATGGATTATGCTCGAGAAGCATTCCCCAGATCAGATGCAGTAATACTAACTTGAGACCACATTAATTAATAATCGATTATCTCTATCCTTTCAGGTTTCTCGGAACCAGGAAGATAACTGTGACCATTCCAAACCCAGGGAGCATTGCAGTAAGACAGACGCAGAACCCAAGGAATCGTCATTCACTAATTCTACAACACAAAGTTTGAGGTTTGAAGCCGCACTCTTTGAGTGTTATGCTGTAACGCATTAACTTTCAGTTTTGATCTGTAGATTGCCTGATTTACTCGTTGTTAAGTTCTACCATTTGTCAGTTGTCTTTTATTATTAAATGTGAGTAAAAACTGCACACTTGCTGAGTTGTCGGCTCACGTTTTTTCGCTTCTCCTTTTCCTTCCAGATTCTCATGGTCATCACTAAACTCACACTGCCGTACACGCACCCCTGCAACAACACCCACCTAAGGCTGGGCGAAAACTTATCAACAGCTTGCTGTTACAACGCTTACTGAGCTCAGGCACGCAGTTGTTTCCCGTTTTTTTATCTTCTAGACCGTGCTCATGTATCGAAGAGTCGCCATCTTTCGCTATTGACGGACTATCAGCAAAGGACTTTAGGAATTGTCCTGGTGCGAACTTGACAGATACAAAGGCCAATCACTAATTATTCGAACTTGTTATGTACCCATGAATACGAGACCAAGGAAGATCACAACGGCGTAGTCGGAACATAGCAGGTTGAATGTCAGGCACAACTTCTGTTCCCTAAGAGTTGTTAAACCTTGGAACGCTCTTCCTGAGGATGTGATCCAGGCTACTTCGTCTGAATCTTTTAAACGCCGACTAGATACCCATTTGATGTGTGTCTGGGATCTGCCCAGAACTAAGTGAATTTTCACATTTTAATTGCCACTTTTTCACCTTTCTTTACTTGTACAACAACAACCAGAAGGAGTAGTGATCCACGGACTGTAGACGCGGAAGCCAGTTGAGCGAAAGCTTCTTCTATTCCGTCAACAACCATTTGAACCATTTGGATGGAATAGTATATTTGGGTGGTTGTGCCAAGATACCGAGATACTTCTTAATATTGTTGTTCAGAAGTGGAAGTTTGTTAATGAGCAACCAATGCAGTTCAAAGAACGTTCCCTAGCAGCACATTTACTGACGAGCAGTACAGGAACCCAATAAGGAGCATTTATATGTTTAGAAGCTGGAAGATAACCACGTTAAAAAGAATTTAGCACCTAATTTTCTACCCTGTTCGATTTTGTTTAGTCATCTTATGATTTGTACCTCGAAGTCATGAATGCAGCTTAAGCGGTTAACGGTTTCATTCTAAGTACGTTTACCAAAAAGGTATGTGTGAATTGTATATTGACTACGCAGTCGAATCTCCAACAGTTCTCACAGTATAAGATGGAAAAATAATTTCAGTCCTGTCATTTTCTGCTGTTTAATAACAGTGGTAAGCTCCTTTGAAATGCAACCATTATTTCAGGACTCAATGGTGTTTCTTGCTTATCTGTGCTATCCATCACTAATCCCCGTGTTGTTTTATGTTGCATAGTGATATCTGTAAGGCGAACTAAGTAAGTAGGTTGAAACCTGAGTAATTTAGATGCATTTCTGCAGCTATATTTTGCCGTTCCCGTCCATTCATGATGCAATTGAGCGCACCGAGAAAGTAAAGGTAAGTTTGTGTCACTCACTACAAAACTTTTTATGATACTGTTTTCGCATTGGTAAGGCTATTTTGCTTCCCCAAATTTTTCAGATTAGAGTCCTCTCGTTCGACCAATGCCCTGTTAAGGACATCATGTGGATAATAACATTTATGAAGGCAGAAATGGTAGGAATGTAACAGTATGGAATAGTTATCACCTATGTGTACCATATTTTAGGATCAAATCAAGGTTTCAGCTGAGTCTAATTTGAGGGTTAGTTATTATCTTACTGGATGGCATCTAAATAATCTGAAATTTGCAGCCTGCAACGATTAGGGGTTAATTTGAGTTACTACCCAACTATTTCATTTATTTAGTTCTCAAAACCAGACAGTTGGTTTTCGGTAATAAAGTTAGCAAGCGAAAGATCTATGCAAAACGCTGTTCTTTGCTGTGTATAAAATCCCAGTCTTGCGCTGAGAAGATTAACAGAAGTTCTTAAGATCATACAGTTCAACAAAACTACGCAAGCTAACTTGTCACTATGACTAAATATGATTTCTCGAAGTTAAGCGCCATCTACGCATGAAGCAAGACTTTTTTCTTATGGTATTCCACTGATATAATAGGAACAGTAAGTGGTTTAGGGGTACACCACTTCAATAGTTTTTAAGAGGAAAAGGCACTGCTGATCACTACTTCCTGTCTCGTGTCTTTAATAGAGCAAAACAATAATTATCAGTTGTGGGTACACATCGTACCTGTATATCTTCTGCCAGAGTTTAATTGGCAAAATAGAAGTTATAATATATGGGGCATATGTTCTGCATACCTGATTACTGTCTCCTGTGTGATATGTTAACTGGAGTTAAGTAACCGGAGGTCACAGTTGGCCAGACTAAACCGTGGTAAAAGCCCATCAAGTTTGTAACTATTAGTCCGAGGCATGTACTCGAAATGTATGTCCCCCAGCACCCTTGTTCATATTCCTGCAGTAGCAATATAGCACACCTATTGTGTGAGAGCTGATGGTGCTGCCTGGCTGCTCAAACCTCTATGTAAAGCAAGGCTCAAACTCATGACCCGTCGGTTGAAAGTCATCTCCCTTAACCAATGAGCCACAACCCCGAGGTATGTAGGTTTCTTAGTCCGGATCTGCGTGACTTATGGTTGAAAATCAACGCAATGCTGAGAAACGATCTCAGCGGGTCAGATGGATCCATGCTTTATTTTCATAGCGATCGTTTTATTACATTTTGTCATGTGATGTTTTTTCATGGTTTTCTTTCATGTTTCCCTGTCTTTCATCTTGCTTTCTTGTATTTTGATATGGAGTGTTGCCACTTAGACCGTTGCTCTTCAAAGCAAGGTCTCACCTTGGTACTAACAGAATGACCTAAAATACTGTAATTTTGTTCATAAATTATCAAAACGACTTGGTAAACTTTTGTTTATGCCTACGATAACGACTTCGTGCTCATTTGCGAGTTTATTTATAGGCTTAATGATTCAGCGAATCTAAAACTTTCTGCTTGATTTTATCTATCAGCGACAGTAATCTGGATTGTATCTAAGTTGGACTATGCCTATAATTTCTATACTACAGGCATCACCTTTTATCGCAGTACCTTACATTGGAGCATTCATAAATCAACGAACTGTTTATAGGAACTTGTCCTGGCATCGTAAACTTAAAAGACCTTCATTTTCGCCTCCCAGATGGACTTTCGCACCTATTTGGTATACACTTTATGGTTGTATGGGAGTAGCATCCTATTTGGTGTGGAGAGATGCTGTACAGGAGGAAGCTTTACTTCCTCTGGCTGTCTATGGGTTTCAGCTCTTACTTAACTGGTCTTGGATACATATCTTCTTCGGGAGACATAAACTTAAACATGTATGTCGATTACTAAGCTAATTCTGTGTCAATTTGTGATTAATTTCTAGCTTATTCATGATTAATACGTGTGCCGTCTAATATGCCAAATTTTAGTATCGTAAACTTTTGAATGTATTAAACTTGATATGGTTATGAGTAATAATTTGTGTTCATAACTTTATCTAGCAAACAATACCGTATAAGTTCGTGCCACATCAGATAAACAAATCTAATATAGAACTTCAGAACAGTTAGTATATTTTCCTATATGTGTATTCTGATACTTAAGCAGGAAAACATGCTCATGCCGATAACAGAAAAGTTTGGGGGCTATGATTGATTACTCAAAGCATATTATTACACATTACTATTTATTAATTACTATCCCAGAAGTATTACTTATTAGATAATAGTGCGTTGGTGTACGCTTTGTTAAACCATTTAAATACCTAACTAGATTTGAAATGTGTCAAAATATTCAGTCTATCACGAGAAACGTTCTCTTTTTAATTTATTATACTAGTTGAGTCGTTCACACACTGCAATGTACAACTAAAAAAGCTCAGAAGTTATTTAAGAGTTCAAAAATCATACTAATGTAGGAATACATGAACACTTTTCTTCTCATATCACTTCTAAAAGTAGCGATTGTTAGTCGTTTAACCATAGACGTTGTTGTCATTTCTATTTTGACCACTGGTACATGTTTTCCTCGTAATAGTCAAGATACCACTAACCATTGAGAAACTTTGGCATTCCACATCGCAGTCTTTGAAACTAAATGAGGTCACAAGTTCACATCTCTCCAAGTATTTCATTTTTTCCAGTCGGTTGAAATGATTGATAGTCAATTACAATGCGTAAATTCCTATGTAACATTTCCTATATGTATCCCTAGTTTGTGTTTGTCGATAGCATCTGCAATTTAATCTATAAAATATAACTGAATGTGAGTGTTCGTGAAAATTGAAAACCAATGATGGCGTGTCAATCGGTCGCAGTGCAGAGTTTAAGGTTGTTGTGTGTGAAAATTTGAATCCAAAATGCCAGAATATTAAACATTTTCAGTTATAACGTTTTGGAAAGCTGCAACTAATTTTCACTCGACAAATTCACTCCCTGAATAATTAACATACAAGGTTACCGGATTTTATATATATATATATATATATATATATGGTTGGTTTTACTGAAGGCTGGGTTGAATTTTATAATTCATCTGACGTTAGATTCTGACCTTTGATGGAAACAACTAAAGCCTAAACCTTGTTTTTACTCGCTTGACATCTTTTTTTTTCATAGTTTTTTACTGTTGAGTAGTTTACTTTCACTAGATGTTTGACGGAAGAAATGATACTTTGACCGCCGTTTTACACCATGTATTTATTTTTTCATGCAGGGTGCTGCTGTTATCTTGGGTGTTTTGAGCGGTGCTGGAGCTTGTGTCTGTTTATTTCGTCCCATAAGTGTGAATGCCAGCAATCTAATGATCCCATACGCTTTGTGGTTAACATATGCTTCAATCGTCAATCTCCGTACTGCTATGCTCAATGACTGTGATTAGCTGGGTCTATAGATAGATTTGCAGAATAGGTACACTGCCGCTGAAAAATTTTGAGTCTCAATTTTTTGGACGGCTTTTGTTTTACTTTTCGGTTATGTTTTTTTTGGTAAATCATGAGTTTTGTTACTATGATAAGAATAAATGAATAGTTTCCAGTTCGCCTTCTGAATGAAATATGCTGGTTAATGGCAGTGGCAAATGATTTGTATTATAATCAGGAATACGTTCACTTTTTTTGTTACTGTAATGATAGATTGCTGTAATCGTTTACCCATGTCCCTGGATTTTTAGAATACAACTTAACGAAAACTGGATAGTAAGTAGGATCAAACGGAGGAAAAAATGCATCCGAAGCAAGTGAGTTGACAGATATGAAGGAAAGACACTATAAAACATTGCACTAAGTTGCATCAGTTCAAGTTACCACGAAAGCGTAAAGAGGAAGTTACTAGAAGTAGGATGATATTAAGATGAGATGAGCAATAAGTTTGGTGAAGGTTAGCGGAAACATCTAAAGGTTTTATGGTTGATAGATTTCGACAAATGTCAACAACAGTTTTACACCTACGATTCATATAACCCCAACCAACTAGGTCCGACAGAGGCTTCATGGATTGCTATCATTTTACGAGTCTAGTTACTCATGGGTCTCTTCTGTTTCAGTCCTACTTAAGCCAGTGCTGTGTGTGGAATGACAAGTAACTATTACGTTATGGAATAATTATACCTGGTGGTGTAAGTAAAAGGGCTGTCAAACATCGAGCATACAACAATAGCATAGAAATGGCTGATAAGCATTACTTTATTGTTGACAGAAAAGTAGATGTTAACAGTTATTCAAGTGCAGTATGCCTTAAGGAAACTGGAGTTCATTATCACACGTAATAAAAGCAATTGCCACACACAGACGCACTTCAGCTGGCAAGAACTACCAATAACCTTGAGACTTCAGAACCAAATACAGTTTATCATCAAGATGAAGGTTGTTGTTGAGCATTATTCCCTAGATGAATGCAACTATGCTATCTGGTCGAATCAGCACTATCACATACTTCAAACAGTTAGTCCTTTTCATGAAGTTTGATAGTGGAATTAGGAGACGAGGTTTATCTGAACAACGTGATGCATTCGTGCAATACATTTCGAACAATCTGATGACATTTACTTGTCAAGTCAATATATATTAAACCAAAGAGTGGGAGGACGAATACAACAATTAACACAATAAGGGATTAAAATTAAGAAAGATGAGAACAAACAAGAAGTGACATAGTTGGTCCTAATCTTAGTAAAAAGACAAAGTTTATCAAGGTAAGTGTAGTGTAAGAACAAATTGTTTCTGTACACATAAAGGCGGTTTAAATTTGTGTATGGCTATAGATTCCGCAAATCTCAAAATATGTCACTGACTGTTTCTATATAGAACTTTGACAGCTGTTCGAACACTATCTTTGTCACCTGTTCCTATATGTTTAGCTATAGATGAAGAGGGTCGTCTCCCACCAGTGTTTATCAGTTTCACACTCGATTTGTTTTTGAAGCCATTTAGGTACATGTTTTCCCACCCTCAACTGCATGACTCGATCACTTCTCCCTATGTATGTGTGATCATACACATGTAAATTGGTAAACACAATAGGATGTGACGTAATCGTTGATGCAGTGTCTAGGTTTTTGGTGAAGCATGTTTTGTTTTTTCCACAATGATAAAATCCACCGCGAAATATGTCTTCTTAATGGATGATATTAGCCTGCGTCCCAAAATGATGTATGGTAGAATGATATGGACGCTTTTCTTAGCAACCTTGTGTAGAGTTAGCTTTGATGCTGCTTGACTTCTGCAACGGTTTATAAACTGCATCGGATATTCATTTTCCATAAGTGCTTCGGTCAGTAATTTGATGTCTTCATCCATCTTATCTGGTGTACTGATATGATAGATCCTACTACAGACATTTTATTAGACCTCGCTTGTATTGGATTAGACAGGAACTGTGAAAATTCAGGTATTGTCCTGTCCATGTAGGCTTTCTGTAAACTGACCGTCTTATTGAACCATCTTCTCGTCGACTCAGGATTAAATCTAGGAATAGCAGTTAATTATCATTCTCCTCACAAGTCAGACTGATGTGAGTTTGTATGGTGTCAGTTTCTTTTAGTAGACATATCCTCAAGCCTACGACAAACCACTATGTCATCAACATATCTGTTGGAAAGAGGAAGTTTGGCGATGAGATCACCAGCCAAATTTCCGATATGTGACATATAAATATCAGCTAGTAATGGTCCTAAGGGACTACCCATAGCTACACCGTGCACCGACAATGTCCACTTCCCATTTGAAAGTGAACGCTTTCGACAACCTAGACACTGCATCAACGATTACGTCACATCCTATTGTGTTTACCAATTTACATGTGTATGATCACACATACATAGGGAGAAGTGATCGAGTCATGCAGTTGAGGGTGGGAAAACATGTACCTAAATGGCTTCAAAAACAAATCGAGTGTGAAACTGATAAACACTGGTGGGAGACGACCCTCTTCATCTATAGCTAAACATATAGGAACAGGTGACAAAGATAGTGTTCGAACAGCTGTCAAAGTTCTATATAGAAACAGTCAGTGACATATTTTGAGATTTGCGGAATCTATAGCCATACACAAATTTAAACCGCCTTTATGTGTACAGAAACAATTTGTTCTTACACTACACTTACCTTGATAAACTTTGTCTTTTTACTAAGATTAGGACCAACTATGTCACTTCTTGTTTGTTCTCATCTTTCTTAATTTTAATCCCTTATTGTGTTAATTGTTGTATTCGTCCTCCCACTCTTTGGTTTAATATATATTGACTTGACAAATACATCACATTGTTCAGATAAACTTCGTCTTCTACTTATACTGTCACATACGTTATGAATTTTGTATATAACTGCAAAGCTTGTTTAGGCATCTCAGGCTTCATAATCGTTGCTCGGTTGATCCTGTGGTGTAATACTTCCTCATGGCCAGCATGAAATTTTTAGTGAGGAAGACTTTAGAGGTTGTTGATGTTAGGTGATGATTGGAGGTGAAATGGGAGCCTATGTCGCGGCAGGCTTCGAACAAGCAGCCTCCGAATTACTGGTCTCGCTCTCTGCCAACTGAGTTGAGACGCAGCTACTGACCAAGCCTTCACTTCAATCATCAAGGGTTATCCTAATATCACTGTGGTATATGGTTCTACACTGCTATCTTGAAAGTAAATGTATTTACTATTGAGAAATAACATTAATTCCCAGAAACCTTACTGAATGGTAGGTAGTATTATTGTATTGTTTTATTATTTCGCTACTCTATAAAATTTTGCTGATAGTTGGATTTATTCAACTGCACTATTAGTAAGACCAAACAATTTGCTATTATCAGTTGGAGGAACAAAGGAAACCTGAGAGCACTGGACAGCTGTTTCGTCCTAGTGCTCCCAAGTTTCCTTTGTTCCTCCAACTGATGTCAGTCTACGATGAATAACAACTTGAAATAATTCCAAATCTCCACAACTCCCTCAAAATTTGCTAATAATCATGTTCTTTCGAACCAATTAGAGGACTTGCTATTTACCATAAGGTCTGTCACGTGTCTATTTTTTAGTTTGTTGTTGATTGCCTTGATCAAAAAAATATCTGCTACTGAAAGGACACGAGAAAACAGAAACGAAGGAATATGTAGTTTCAAACGAGTGGTACAGTAGTTAGATATTGTATACCTTGCACTAAAACCGTCATTTGCAAAATGTGCTTCATTTTCTCTTCTGCTTCTCTCTTGACTTGTTCTTCATACGCCTGCGTTGTCTCTTGCGTTCTTCTGGGTAGAATCCTTACACATTGCTGGTAATTCCTTATGTTTTTGCCGCCCTCTCAACACATACTACTGATATCCATTCTTATCAGCAACGCCCACTATACTACTACTCATCATATCGTGTTCTCATTCATGGATATCTGGGAAAGAGAACCATTCTATATATTAGACGGTCATATGACAGCAACAGATTTTCAGTGCACAGCATCTGTATTACTCCATTCGCACTAATTTGATAAAAGTTAATCAAATGTGATGTAGAAGTGTCTTTTGTCTTTGCTCTCAATCTTCTTCACTTCTTTGTTCAGTGTTCGATAGGTTGTGTTCAGTTCCTCTTTTCGTTGTTCGTACCTCCACTGCATTGCACCGGTTCATCTTCTGCTTCACCATCTTCCTCTCCCTCCTCTATCAGCTTCCATGTGTCCATCGAGATCCATTCCTTGTCTTTCTTCTTCCTTCCTAACATGGTTATGCAGGTTTCCTTCCACCTTCCCATCTCTTTCAAAGAGTTCTAGTGTTCTCTTCCACACAGGTTCCTTCAGGTATGTTGTTCAATGTCTCCCATTTTGTTCTGATGACTGACGTGAAGATGTCCTTTGAAGTTTCGTCCTTCATTTTCTGTTCAGGGTAGGTGTTTGACTTGAACTGTGGTCTATCATCACCAGCTTCTTTGATGGCTTTCAGCCTGATTTTGAAGGCAGGTTCCTTGCACTAGAACAGTGAGTGGTGTGAAACTACATCTGCTCCTCTTCATGATCTTTCATCCAGTAGGCTGCGTCTCCACTTTTATGAGATTGAGATGAAGTGGAACTGATTTCCAGTGTGTGTTGTGTTGTTGTGTGTGTGTTGTCTGCTCCGAGTTTGGCATTCATGTCACCCCACCCATTAGAATTTTGATGTCGCCAACTGGGGTGGGGTCTTGTCCAGTGTTGATTGCAGTTGTCTGTAGAATTCTTCCTCTTTCTCTTGGTCTGCATTACTTGTAGGCGCGTAGTGTAGCGTAGTATTGAATGATTGTGACTTTGCTTTCTTTTTGAGTTGAATCTTGCTGTAATGATCGTGGATGTGGAGATTGGTTCCCACTGCCTGAGAGAGAGAGAGAGAGAGCGTTTGATGCTTTTGGGAGGGGACATCATGATAGCCACTGGAAAA